AAAAATCCATCAACGAGTTGCGTAACTTTCCCGGCCAAACTTTCAAACTCCGTTTGGTGTCATCTGTTATGACATTTTATCAAAAACTTTTTGTATTATTAATTATTATAAATGGTATAAAGCTTAATTTTATGGATAAAAATGAGTTTTATAAAGAATTGTAAATGCTAATAAGGAATATTTTAGAGGTTATCCCACTCGAGATACGACACGTAAACACCTCTATCTCCTCATTTTCTCGACCTTTAACCACCAAAGTTTAACAGCATCGATAACTCTAATGTACACATCTCCCTGCAAAATTTCAGAAATTTTCGACAAAAGGCGCAAGAGTTATTAAATCTGACAATCAATTTAATTATTTAAATAACGACATTCGAATCTAAAAAGCCAAAAATTATTATATTTGCTCCTTACGAAAGAGTGACGTCCATTCTTTCTGCTGTAGCATAAAGAAAAAGTAATTATAGTAAAATATCGATTTAACGAACTAATTTGAGCGAGGGGTTAACCGTTAAAGCCGAAAGTTATACGATAAAACCTGCGTAAACCGGAATCGCGCGGTACCGAATATTTTTCCAATTTGGCAGGTTTCCATTTTATGCAGGTTCCATTTTGGACAGGTTTTACTGTACAATAATAGATAAAATACATTTTATTTATTTTCTCCTGTTTAAAAACTTCTTATCATTCTTAATATAAAATAATTTAATTTTTATAACTATTTTCTTTTTTTTAAATTAAAATCTTACCATATCATACCAGTTAAATAATTTTACTATTAATTACAAAATTTATAAGTAATATTTACATTTTTATTGCCATATTTAAGAAAATATTACATTTAACATTAGGAACTAACGAATTATGTTTTAAAGTTATTCTTTTAAGTTTAAAGCGACCCTCAAGTAAATTTTACGCGTAAATAACTTACAAAAACAATAATTTAATGCTTCATAATCAATTTAATTCTTTAGCTGTTCGGATACAAAAAGTACAATTGTACGAATGTTAGACATTATAATAACATGAGAGTAATTCCGATATATGATTTATGCCTGAAAAACACAATATAAGATAGCTTCTTCCATTGTTGAAATATCTTGTCGGTCTGGGTTGCCTAGATCCTAATTGAAATATGAATATTTATGTATAAATTAACTATCGTAAAAATTTAAATATATAAAAATAACATGCATAATATATTACCTCGGCTTTTTCATCGAAACATTCACCAATCTAATGGAACAAAATTCATTTTAGATTTTGAAATAAAGTCGAAGATTTTGAAATAAAGTCGTTTAAAAGATCTAATGCATGTTTTATCTCAAATTTTCTATAAATTAACAAGAATTGCTACGAAATCTTAATATTCACTTAATATTAAGAATAAATCTGCCTGCAAAATACAAAGTGAATGCTTACATCCTTGTCTGCCTGTACATTATTATCACAAGAAACTGTTAAAAGAGCATCCAATTTTCCATCGACTTCATAAAATGAATCTACGCATTCATGCATGACATCGGCTGCCTTATAAAGAAAAACATTCGTTAAAAAATTCGTGAATTAATCTAAACCAAATCACAATTAAAAATTAGAAAATAAGCATACCTTTTGAACGATTTTTGGGGCACGATTAATAGTGCAATTTAGAAATCTGAGTAGATATTTATCGGGTATTGCTGAAAAAATCAAATGTAAATCAAAGTAAATTATAAACTTAACTCTTATTGCGATAAAAAAGAAGAGAAAAAAGAAAAATTCAGCATTACAGCACACAGCATCTTGAAATTCATCCGGAGTAAATGATTGTACAACTCCAAATACAGCAAGGAATGAAAATGCTGCAATTAANTTGTAAAATTTTCATACAGTAGTAACTTTATTTTGGTTTTTAGAGAATTTTTACTCTATTATTTTATAAGTTTTGATGTTCGATATTTATTTTTTAAATTTTCAATTACTGTATTTATAATTTCTATTGAAAAATATATAAATTACATGAATTTTTAATAAGCGATTTATTATGAAATCTAGTACTGCGTAATAAAATCACAACTGATATTTTGTTTTTATATGGACTGGACAGTACTTGTCTTTAAATGCCATTATTAAAGAAACAATAATGCTAAAAGAGCGTTTGTGATATCCATATTTACGTAAAAGTCGATTCATATGATATAACCATGAATAAAATTCAGTAGTGCAAAATTAAGCTTATTTTATATCAAAGACTTGCTTATGAAAGAATAGAGGATAGAGTTTCCATAGCATGTAAAATGTTTTGTGAAAGCCCAGAATTTTTAGTACTCAATTATATCTTTTTCTTTGTCTCCTGACAAGCACTATATAATGAGGGGCTTGCAAATAAATTATAAATTAATAATAAATTCTAAATAGAAAATTTATATATTTAAATAATATTATTTGATTCATTATATATTATATACAAGAATGTCAAAAAATTTCCAGTAATAACAAATTTAAAGCTACTTCAACATTTTTAAACAAATGTTTTTATTCTTTCAATTTGTTTTGTATGTCCTTGCATATCTGTCTGTTTTAAATTATTATAGCTACTGCAATTTCTGTAACATTTGCAGTGAACTTAGCATATTTTTCCTTGTAGTTTGATCTGGAGAAATGTGATAAAATCTTTAGTGTCCCTACTCATACATACAAAGATCAAAAAATTATTTTTAAATACTTTAAAATAAGTTTTTGATTCACAGAAAGAATAGCTAAATCATTAATGCTTATATTTTATATAAATACTTGCATGTTTTATGTAGGGAATCTGAGTCATGTAAATTTGTAATTATAATCTTTCTCAGTAATATTAACCTTACTTGTATTTTCAAGTATTGTTAATAATTCTATTTCTGCTATTTTAATGGAGATAATAATAACCATTTGACTCAAGTTTTAAGCTGTGTGTACTTGATTATATTTAGTACTAAATACTAGAGAAATCTAAAAGCATTAATATTTTATACTGATACTTATGTATTATTTTCGGTTTTGTTGATCAGTTCATCTGACTTAATATCTGAGTAAAGAATATCAAGTTAAAAACAACCACCAATAATAATAATAATAATAATAATAATAATACAGTAATAATAATTTATCTTGTAACTGTATTGTGAGCTATTTTAACAATTTGCTAGATTATAAAAAATCAATGTTGATATTTTTGTTTTGTATTTCCCCCACCTCTATTAATGCTTACTTTGTTATAGTACTTTTTATTTATACAATATATAATATAATATATGGATATGCAATATATATTAAACTAATTTACAATATTTTCCAAACTTTAGAGGAATTTCTTCTTGAAAATGCAAAAGATTATACATTTTTGACCAATGGCAATGTAACTGTCCCAGGTATAGATGAAAGTCAAGAATTTAAAAATACTGTTAATGCCATGACAATAATGGGTTTATCTCAAGAAGATTTAAATGGTAATTAATTTTAAAAAGTTTATTTTGATTAGAAAACTATAACTTTTAAAATATATACTATGCTTATTAACCTTTCAATTTTAATAATTAATATTTTAGCTATATTTCGTGTTGTTTCTGCTGTTTTATTATTTGGAAATATGAAATTTAAGAAAGAGCGCAATTCTGATCAAGCAACTTTACCAGAAAATACTGTTGCTCAGAAAGTAAGTCATCTTTTGGGGTTAAATGTAACTGAGATGACAAAAGCATTTTTAAAACCCAGACTAAAAGTTGGAAGAGATTATGTGACAAAAGCTCAAACAAAAGAACAGGTATAGTTACAGGAATTAATTTGCAAGATATATATATATATAAAATATATACGCAACAATATTTTTAATTTTTGATTAAAATATTTGACATAAAATATCCTAGGTTGAATTTGCTGTTGAAGCTATTTCTAAAGCTTGTTATGAACGAATGTTCAGATGGCTAGTAAATAGGATAAATCGTTCATTGGATCGTACTAAACGTCAAGGAGCTTCTTTTATTGGAATTTTGGACATTGCTGGATTTGAAATATTTGATGTAATAATTTTATTATTATTATTAAGGTGTTCATAAAAATATTTTTTTCTTATTTTTTTTCACTTGTGTTTATGGAGAGTCTTAAAATACTTTATCAACTGACCATGAACAATTTTTAAATGACTATGAAGATCTGAGTTTTCATAATTTATTATTAAGAACTGCTGCATTTGTATCAATTGTAAAATTCTGAATGGTCATAACATAAGAAGTGACGTAACAGATTCTTGGCACACTGGTGGTTTCCATCTTAGGAGGTTCAACCTCCCTAAGATGGAAACTTGAGCCAGAAAATTGATTTATTTTGGCATTAATCAAATTTTCCTACAAAATAGCCTAAGATGAAACCTGTGAGATACAAATGGAAGTCATCAGTTCATATTAGAGCTTGTCATTCTCCATAAAATCATAAGGATTTGATGAAAATATTTTAACTGTTCAAAGTAGGATTGTATTATATATTATATTTGTTGCTTTTACTCATTTTGAAAAGCAGAAATTGTTTTGGTGTGTTTGCAATTTTGAAAGGCATTAGCTTCCATCATTTTTCAAAAGTTGACATTATGAAATGATCATTCTGTAATGAAAAAGAAAATCACTACTTAATTTAACAAAGGAGAGAATGAAAAAAGTTTGTGTTAGCATTTAAATATTCTTTCTTGATGGCAAAAATAACTCTAAAAAAAGAATATTCTCTATACCTCATTTATATACCACTGGATACTTTTTATGAAATTATTTATTGACTTAAAATGCTTAAATTTTTAAAATATGAAAAAAATTTTTGTTTGAATTAACCAATTTAAATTCATCAATTTTAAATGAAAATAAGTATTGAACCAAATAAAAAATTTGGTTTAAAATTTATAGCATTATAAACATGAGAAACTATAAAAATAATTTGCAATATGTCTTAAAAACTGCAAAATTTTTAAACATTTTTATTTTTTATTAAAATTACACATAGATTAGAATATCTTTCCTTGTATAATTAAATAAAAAGCAACAATGAAACATCCCTAAATTTCATTAGGAAGTTGAAAATTAATTTCACTATTTTGTTTTAAATGTACAGTAATATTTAAGATATAATTTTAGGTTTATATGAAATTGTATGTTAGTTGTAGATTTATATTCTGATAACTAATATATTAATTTTTTTAATAGCTAAATTCTTTTGAACAACTGTGTATTAATTACACAAATGAGAAACTCCAACAATTATTTAATCATACAATGTTTATTTTGGAACAAGAAGAGTATCAGAGAGAAGGGATTGAATGGAAATTTATAGATTTTGGACTTGATCTTCAGCCAACTATAGACTTAATAGAAAAGGTAAGAAATTAAGATTAGTAATAAGTGAATATACAGGCTGCTTTTTTAATTATGATGATGGAAAAAATTCACCAATATATTTATCTTATGATAGTATATGTAAGTTTTTTCTTTTGAGAATATCCAATGTATGAATTTAAAAATAAGAATATATTAAAAAAATATCTGAAATTAATATTAATTTTTTTTACAATATCTTTCAATTAATTCTCTTGCACTAAGGATTAGTAAAATAACTTTTTTTAGTTTATGCAATGAGTAAGTTTGTGTAGTATTCCATATTGGAATTGTATAAGGATTGCATTTTATTTAATATACAGTATCACTACAATATATTTATATTAAAATATTACTATATGAAACAGTGCAGCAATAAAAATAAGCATATATGGTAGTGAATCTATTGTAACAAACTGTTTAAAATAAATTTATAAGATTGCATTGACACTGAGATAAAAGTCACTAGACTGTACAATTGATAGAGAGAACAGACAATACCTATGAAATAAATGAAAGCAGATATTGGAAATGGAGTTGTATTTTCTACTTCTACTAGCAAGATTTTTAGAATTTATCCCAAATGCACTTTGATTAAATTTGTTATACCAGGATTATTTGATTTAGCTGTCACANTTTTAATAGCTAAATTCTTTTGAACAACTGTGTATTAATTACACAAATGAGAAACTCCAACAATTATTTAATCATACAATGTTTATTTTGGAACAAGAAGAGTATCAGAGAGAAGGGATTGAATGGAAATTTATAGATTTTGGACTTGATCTTCAGCCAACTATAGACTTAATAGAAAAGGTAAGAAATTAAGATTAGTAATAAGTGAATATACAGGCTGCTTTTTTAATTATGATGATGGAAAAAATTCACCAATATATTTATCTTATGATAGTATATGTAAGTTTTTTCTTTTGAGAATATCCAATGTATGAATTTAAAAATAAGAATATATTAAAAAAATATCTGAAATTAATATTAATTTTTTTTACAATATCTTTCAATTAATTCTCTTGCACTAAGGATTAGTAAAATAACTTTTTTTAGTTTATGCAATGAGTAAGTTTGTGTAGTATTCCATATTGGAATTGTATAAGGATTGCATTTTATTTAATATACAGTATCACTACAATATATTTATATTAAAATATTACTATATGAAACAGTGCAGCAATAAAAATAAGCATATATGGTAGTGAATCTATTGTAACAAACTGTTTAAAATAAATTTATAAGATTGCATTGACACTGAGATAAAAGTCACTAGACTGTACAATTGATAGAGAGAACAGACAATACCTATGAAATAAATGAAAGCAGATATTGGAAATGGAGTTGTATTTTCTACTTCTACTAGCAAGATTTTTAGAATTTATCCCAAATGCACTTTGATTAAATTTGTTATACCAGGATTATTTGATTTAGCTGTCACAATGGGTACTAAAGAACATGATTCAATGTAGTGAGGATTTATATATAGGGAGTTCAGATACTGTATAAAATTTGCTTTTGAGATTTTGAATTTTTACCAAGTAAATAAAAAAAGTCATACACCAGTATAAAATAAAATTACGCTTCTGGCATTATACTTTGTTAGATATATTTTAGAATTTTAAATAGTTTTATTGTTTTTAATTAAGATTGTTCTATTATGAAAATTGAAATTAATACTATATATTTCTTATATAGCCAATGGGAATACTTGCTTTAATTGATGAAGAGTGCTGGTTTCCAAAAGCTACTGATAAAACTTTTGTTGAGAAACTTGTAAATACCCATACACATCACCCAAAATTTATTAAGTCTGATTTTAGAGATTCAGCAGATTTCAGTATTATTCATTATGCTGGAAAGGTGAGTTTAATAGTTTCTCAATTACAAAGAATTTATATTATTGATGTAAAACAATTTTTGCACTTTATATTATTTATGCTATAAAATCAATATGTTATTGTTGCTAAATCTTTAAATTAATTTATATACATATATATATATATAAATTCGTTTGAAAAAATTATGAAAATATAGATTTGTATTTCTGTAGGTGGATTATTCTGCAACTCAGTGGTTAATGAAAAATATGGATCCTTTAAATGAAAATGTTGTGTCATTGTTGCAGACTTCTCAATATCCATTTATGGTTCAAATTTGGAAAGATGGTAAATATAAACTTGTGTTGTGTAATTATATATTATTAATAATTACTGATTTAGATTTAAAAATTTGAAAAATAATTATATAATTTTAAAAATGGTGAATTATGTTGTATTAATATTTTAAATATAATGAAGTTTGTGTAGAAGTATTTGATTTATTTTTACTTTAATTGTAATTTAATTTACCATATGTTTTTTGTATTTACATATTTAAATAACCAGATGAAATTTAAATATAACTTTAAAACATGCTTATTGGTAAATTTTAAATTTTTGGTAAGATTCTTGTTAAAATAATTTGGAATTTTACAAACTGATTCTCATTTATGAGGACTTTAAAACTTGATTTTGATTGACATAATTCATGTACATGTGTGATTTAGTAGAATAACAAAATTATTTCAAAATTTAGTGAAAACTAATATGATTAATTATGATGATAATTATGATATATTGTTAAGACAAAAGTTAAGTTTTGCTGCTAATATATAATTTTGAGTGCAATTTAAATGTAAAAAGTATATGAAAATGATCAGAACTTGTTTAAACAAATTCTGATCATCAAATAAATAAATATGATGATAATTTTTATTAATAAATATTTTGTTTTAACTGACAATTATATATGTTCTCAAAATTATATAGTTTTACTTACTTTTTTAATGTCAATATATGAGATGGAAGATTCAATATGTAACTAAATAATAATTTTAATTTGATTTCATATTATATTCTGTTGAGATAATTAGTGTTAGTTCCAATTTTATTTTGACATTCTTGATTTTTGTGGTTTTTTTTTTTTTTTAATGTAGATTTTGGTTAATGTAGTATGGTTATAAATAAAGTATGTTAAGATTTGAGTTTTTAGCATAATTAAGGGATGAAATAAGTTTTTAGTGTATAAAGAAATTACTGCATTCTTTAATTATATATATATATATATAAAATATAATTATATTATAGTTTTGTCCACTTGGACATTCTTGTGACTTCTTGTACTGTACTGAGGGAAGAGAGAAACACAATTTTCATATAAAATATATATACTGTAATGTAATCTTGTGTGCCACTACAATGCTTGGATTGTTTACAAGAATGTCCAAAATGGACAAAGGTATAAGTAATTAAAGCAAGAAGCATGTATCAACATGAAAACTAAATAAATAAATAATTAAATTTGTAATCAAAGATGATTAATCATACCATACAATAAAATATGTAATTGTATGATTAATGATCATCTTTGATGATGTAATGCTGCAAAAAGTATTATACTGTATAACATGTTGATTTTGTAATTAGATTTTTATTATTATTAATTATTTCATGTAAATTGTAAGAAAGTTTTTAAAGAAAAGAATTTATTATTAAACTCTATTCATTTGTAACAAATTGATTTTCAATTTTAATATATCAAATTCTGATAAATTAAAATATTGTTTTTTAGCGGAAATAGTAGGAATGGGTGCTGCAACAATGGGAGATACCCAGTTTGGTGCAAGAACTAGGAAAGGAATGTTCCGTACAGTCAGCCAGCTATATAAAGATCAGCTCTCTAAATTAATGGTGACTTTACGGAATACTAATCCTAATTTTGTCCGTTGTATCATTCCAAATCATGAGAAAAAGGCAAGTAGTAAAATAAGTTGGTAGAATAATGCAAAGTAGTAAAATAAGTTGGTAGAATAATGTAATACATTTGTTTAATGATTGTTTAATGTTTCAGATTAAGTTAGTATTTTATTTTTAAGTTTACTATTTACATTATTAATAATGTAAATAAATACAGCAATATTGTATATAACAGGTCGGCAACCTATGGCATGCGTTCCAAACATGGCACTCGGGATGATTTTCAATGGCACTCTGACACTGATTGAATAGAAATTAGTAAAAAGTAAACTTTAAATATTAATTTTTGAAGTCCATTATAACCGGGCCAATTTTGATATATGTAACAAAATTGAAAGAATCACGCCGGCACCTGGAGTAAACTATAAATTAGGTTCAGCACAACATTGCCGAAAGATTGCTGACTCCTGGTATATAATATATTAAAGGTTAATTTATATAACTTGTTTAACAAATTACTTAATAAAGTATTTGTTGGAAAGTTTCAATTTTAAGAAAATTTCTTTTTAAATAATTGTAATTAATTAATTATTGATTAAATTCCTGCTTTATTGCATGTTTTTTTTTTCAAATTTTTATGAATCAGACAGTTATAACAAATGAAATTGTAAATAATTTTGCAAATTAACATTTGTATCCACTGTTATGTCATATTTTTTCAAATAGCATTCTATATATGATTTTTCACATATTGCTAATTAGTGAGTGATCAAGTATTGAATTAGTATTGGAATTGCCTAGTTTTATGCAACCAATAAGCAGATATCTGGTTATTAGTTTATAAATAAATATTCAATATTTCCAATATTATAGGGATGGCTGACATGAAATTGTTAATTACATTACAATTACATATCAGCTTACATAAATGCTTTTAAAAATATTTTAAAAGTTCAAACAAATAAATTTTGTTTGAACTTTAAAAATATTAAAGGTTTAACCCCCCTTAGTCCCCTTGGATCTATCACTGTTTATAATGATACCTTTCCTTAGTAAAGAGTTGAACTTTTATTATTTATCACTAATAATTTTTTACATTATTGGTGAGGAATTGAAATAATGAAATTATCAGTATTTGTTACATAAAATTTTACTGTATTATATGTGATTGATTCATTGTTTTGCTCATTTGACTCATTTATACATTACAATAATTGAATGTAATGATGATAAATGATGATTTGTTGAAACAAAATTACATATATATTTTCAAAAAATTTAATTTTACATTAGTTGATACAGGTAACCCCCGTATAACACGGTACTGTTATAGCACGGATTCACTCTGACACGGTTCAAGAATTGGGTAAAACCCTCATACAACATGAAATGTAATAAATTTACATTTCATGTTGTATGAGGGTTGTACATTAAGTATGTTTACATACTTAAGTAATAATAGTTCACGAAAATAATAATTTTTGTGAACTTTTATTACTTAAGTGTGTAAATTTTCTTTTCTCGCCTTCTGTCGATACACATGGTCCTTCTTGAAACTTTTTGCAATGTTGCCAGATCTTGATGCTTCTGATGTTGCCAGATGTTGTTCCCTTATTCCATACTTGCTTTATTCTTCATAAGTGCTTAGCACCATATAAGGAAAATTATAAAGATCTTTTAACTAAAAGCAAGCAATCTAAAATTACATACTTTTTGCAAAAGGTAAAGCATGGATCTGAAGATAATGCAGAAAAAAGCTCAGAGGATAAGGATAACTTGCCAAAAAGAAAATGCTTTTAATGATGATGAAGAAAACATTGTTTAATTTATATTAAAATTTTCTTAAGTGATACATATTAATTAAGATAAATATCTTTATTATGAAAATATAATAGCATGTTTTTTAATTTTTGGAACTTAACCCTCCTTTTCATACTAGTTCTTTGTTTCGTATAATACAGATTCGCATAACACGGCAATTTTTTGGAACATAACTACCATGTTATACGAGGGTTACCTGTACATAGTTAAGGAAGAGAACTTGTTTCCTTAAGTCATATTATGAATTTTATGTTTACATTTTATTGAATCTGTCTAATCATTAATTTTTTTAAAATGTTTCTTTAAAATTTATAAAATACTTAAAAAGTTCTTTATAGAATAATAACTCATAATAATTTATTTTTTAAAGAAAATTATTTTTATATTTAGGCAGGAAAAATTGATGCTACACTAGTATTGGAGCAACTTAGATGCAATGGAGTATTGGAAGGCATACGTATTTGTCGTCAAGGTTTTCCTAATCGTATCCCATTCCAAGAATTTAGACAAAGGTAGTTTAAATGTTGCTGTAAAAGCAAGTTTAAAAATTTTTTATAATAAAAGTATATAAATATTTTGATCTATTTTTTTGTTAATAAAATTATTATTACAATATTACTAAGTCTTAATATTTATCAAAGTTTATTTCAATGAAACTTGCTGAACTCATTATAATATAAGCTAAAAATTTAAAGTTTTTTTTCCCTGGTTTAATGATTACATAAATTTTATTTTCTCTAATACATTTAAACTTAAAGGAAAACTTCAAAGACTATTTACTTAAAATTTTATTCTTAAATTTTAAGTGTAATGATTCAATTGGAATTTTAAAACAGAATATTTATCTAAATTATTATTAAAAGAAAACAGATTTGAAATATTTGTTTTTACATTGTCAGTTTCAGAAATGATATTAAAATTTTTAAATTCTTGACAATAAAAAATTTACTTTAAACATTGTTTATTCAAATACATATGCATGTATTTATAATTGTACAGTAATAAGTCTCCCATTCTTTCCACTTACAACTATAAAATATATTGATATGAACATTAACCAAGTCTTCTATAGATAACCTTCTACAATTATTCTGTAAGCTATTACTTAATTTTAATTAATATGCCACTGCAAAATGCAAATGTTTTATATTTTCTAAGCTAAACTTTAATTTACGTAATAAAAATGAGATTTTTATAAACTTGTCTTAATAATAATGCTTAATGTAATACTATATCAGCTATACTGGTGCCAAGTGCTGTATGCAGGACTTGGCACCAGTATCAGCTGAGCATGACATTCTCTACATAACAATAATAATAATAATAACAATAATAAATCATTTAAAAAAGAATAAATATTAATATTCTTAGAAAGATATTTGAATATATTTTAAATTTAAGATATTTTCTTCTAAATATTACTAATGATAAAATATCTTTTCCAGATATGAACTTCTTACACCAAATGCTATTCCAAAAGGTTTTATGGATGGAAAATTAGCCTGTGAAAAAATGGTTGGTTTAAAATTGAGAAAAATAAATGTCAATTATTTTTAAATAGTTGCAGTTTATTTTAATAATTATCATTGTTTTTCTAGATTTTAGCTCTTGACTTGGATCCAAACTTATATAGAGTTGGACAGAGTAAAATCTTCTTCCGTGCAGGTATTTTAGCTCAACTAGAAGAAGAACGTGATATGAAAATTTCTGATTTGATTATTCAGTTTCAAGCTTGTTGCAGAGGTCTTTTAGCTCGCAGGTAATTATTGTCTTTTCTAATAATGATGGTAGTCAAATAAACAATATGTTCAGTTAAATTTTAATTATTGACAATTCTAACAGCTACATTATTCATTTTAGCTCCAATATAAAGTCCTGGCTGAAGGAAAATAATTCCTAATTTCAAATATGATGGAGTAAAATTAAAAACTTTTTAGTTTAATAAACACATGCTAGTTTTTTGACCGAATTTAATCCAAATTTGCTTTGTGAGAACTACTATACAGTATTTGTATATCAGTANATCAAATTTTGTTTATAAATATTTAAATTGAAAAACATTTCTTAATTTTAGGTAAAACCACTTTTACAAGTTACAAAACAAGAAGAAAAATTAAATGCTAAAGAAGATGAATTAAGACAAGTTAAAGAAAAAATGGAAAAAGCAGAACAAGATGTAGGAGACTTAGAAAAAAAACTGCAACAAGTATGTATATGTTAAATTCTTAGACTTCTATCAATTAGAATAGACAAAAACTATAGTTTTTTAATGTGTCTTTTGCGTGCTTTACTATAGTTTTTATTATTTTAGTAATATAATTTTTCTTGTTTATTTCTAATAATTTCTATTTAAAAAGAAAACAGTAATAGAAATTATCAAAAAATAATAATAATTTTCATTTTTTCAATAATTGATTTAAATTCTAACTCGCAGAGATAAAATTTACATAAAAACACTGCACAATTTTTAAAATTTGATTCAGCGTATTTACTCTTTTTTTATTTTTATTGAAAGAATTGTTTAATTTATTAATTTGTATTTTATATAGGTAATGGAAGAAAAAGCTATGTTAGCAGAGCAACTTCAGGCTGAAACTGAACTTTGTGCAGAAGCAGAAGAAATGAGACTTAGATTAACAGGAAGGAAACAGGAATTAGAAGAAATATTACATGATTTAGAAGCAAGAATAGAGGAAGAAGAAGAAAGGAACCAAACTTTAAATTCAGAAAAGAAAAAATTACAGCAGAACATTCAAGATTTAGAAGAACAGTAAGAAAATTTTGTTTGCAGTAACTGTTAAATTACAATATACTGTATGTATGAATAAATAAACGTTTTTTATAGGCTTGAAGAAGAAGAAGCCGCACGGCAAAAATTACAATTGGAAAGAGTTTCATTAGATTCAAAAATTAAAAAGCTTGAAGAAGATTTTGCTATAATTGATGATTCAAATCAAAAAGTAATTACTTTACTTTTACATAAGTTTATTAAGTTAGGTTGTAAATTTGTTATTTAATATTTAACAATGGTTTTTCTTATTCATAATTATAGTTTCAAAAAGAAAAGAAGGCATTAGAAGAAAAACAGCTTGAACTTGCTCAAACATTAACAGAAGAAGAAGAGAGAGCTAAACATCTGAGTAAACTGAAAGCAAAACATGAAGCCACTATTGCAGATTTGGATGAAAGATTAAGGAAAGAACAACAGGTAAAATTCTCTATTAAATTATGAAAATAATTAAGTACCAATTCTCAATATTCAAACTTAAAATTTGTAAATAAGTAGATAATAAAGTACTGTACATGTTTTTTATTTTTTAAGTGATTCAACTTCAATGTATTGCATAAGTTTTGTCATTTAAAACTGTCTTCAATAATATGATGTGTCATTATTACGTGTATTCTGCTTAATCTACTAAATTATATGTATTGATTTATATCAGCTGGAAAAAAATTAGTTTTACATTGTCAGCCAGTATTTGTCATTTATTTTACTTTCATCTAATGTAGTTGTTTGTTTTTCAAATTATCTAAAAGGAACTTTATTAAAATTAAGGAACAAATGAAAAAACAAAATGATAAATAAAATAAAATTAATTAAATTCTGAACTACTGTATTTTTACATTTTAAATTCCTCTTAAAATACAGAGTGATTTAAAATTAAAGTTACCCTATTTAGAGCCTTTTTGCAGAAGGAATTAGTGAGAAAAACTTTGTTAAATTTAGTTTTCACATGCTTCAGACCATGGGAAAGAACTTTATAGGAGAAAGTTCCAAAAATTTTCTTATTCAGGCATAGACATGTGTAATTACTGACGATTTCAATAAAAATTGTAATGACTTACAATCACTGTTAATAAAGCACTGCTGGAATGAGACACAATGCTGCTAAGGAGGACCAAAAAAGATGTAACAAGTCCTTAAATAAAGTATGGTTCTTGTGAACATTTGTTTAGAATTTTTTAAATAATGACAAGAAGCATTATCATAATCATATTAGTAACTTTGCTATTATTAGAGTGATTATTTGTTTGTTTTAAAAATAAATTTGATGAAAAGTTGAACTAAAAGTATTTCATAGTAGAATTGTTACTCCAAATTGTGTAAAAATTAAATTTAAAAATTTTTTGAAGTTTTATAGAGAAATATTCCTCTTGATGGAAAAAGTGGATTTTTATTTTCTATAATTTACAATGAATATGCATTTTGGGATTTTGGGCTTCATATCCTCCTTCAGTCCTTAAAATTGTTATTAAGTACCAGATATCTGTTGATAGCTTGTTCAATTCTTTTTTTCATCTTTGTAGTGTTTGCTGGATCTTGGCTGTTCCTAGTATTCTTAGTACTTGGTTGCTTTCTGTACTCTCAAGACTAGTTTAATTCAATTCTTTAAATACTAGTTTAAATTATACATTCAATGATTAGACTTACTTATTTTAAAAAATACTTTGACTATCTTTAAAGAAATAATAATATTGTATGCACTATTTTCTTTAGAGACTTATTTTTTTATTAAAGTAGAAATTTAATTGTCATTTTAGTCATATTTTAAGTTAGAAGTGGAAAGAATTAGCTAATATTATACTTCAGAGAAAATTCTGATTTTTAATTTTTGTTTTATTTTAGACTAGACAAGAATTGGAAAGAGTAAAGAGAAGATTAGAAACTGAAATGAACGATGTAAAAGAACAGTTGAGTGAAAAGAAAATCCAAGTCGATGAAATGCAACAACAGTTAGCTAAAAGAGAAGAAGAACTGAATCGAACTCTTTTAAAGTATGTTAAATTACAAGGAGGTACCTTCTTATTTTATATAAAATAGTAAAAATTTATTTAAGATATATTGAAATTAATCTGTGATCACTTGTGGTAAAAGTAATTTCAACAAGTACTAGTTTTTTCATAGACATTTAATAAAATAAAATTATATTTAAAAACTTAAAGAAAATAGACTTGAGATAAAAATATATATATATATACAAAAAAACTGCAATTCATTTCAGTATTAAAAAATCATAATGATTACATACTAAAATTCTTTAATATGTACATAAAACTAATGACTAATTGTATATTGAATAAAATTTATTATTCAATACTACATACAAGTAAAAAGAAAATATAAAAGTTGATTAATTTATTAGAGTTTGCTAATGTGGTGTTAACATCTGTTAATCATAAAGCAAAACTGTTAAAGAAAAATCATAAGCTTCTTAAATATTTTAAAACTTGGTACAACTTGTTAAATTTGAAACACGAATAATGCAAAAACTTGTCTACTTTGGAAAATTATTATTTTTAGCAAAAATAAACATTTTCTTATATTTTATTTTGTATAAAGACAAAAACAAAATTATTAATAATTTAATACCACAAAATATTAATCTTAAAGATGCATTTTTAGTTTAGTAACATGTTTTAGGAAATATTTTTTTTTTTTAGTTTGATTCAAATTTGTAATTTAAATGCAACAGGGTAAAATTAATGAATTCAAGATAATAAAAATCTTTAAAACATATTATATTAATTTAAGTGTTTTACAGTTCATACAAATGACTATTCATAAATCTTTAAGCATTAGCAAGTGGAGAAAATATATTAATTTTTTATTTTCTTATCTTGTGTTTTCTGTTCATATATTCTGTGATATCCATATAGGATTTGTTATGATGGAGTTTGACATCTCAAATGGATTTTTGGTTGTTTTGTTATCACTATTGTTACTAAAAAAACAATTATTATTATTTAACAGGATATAAAATGCATGAAGTACAAATAAGTTAGGAAAAAATGAGAGAATAAATGAGGTTACCCTCTGAGCAACTTTCAAAATACATTTGTTAGTACATAAATTTTTGTTGCCTGGGACAGCTGCTAATTTTGAACCCTGTATTATTCTTAAAATTTTTAAAGAGTGTTTTCTATCTTATTGCCATCCTACATAATTTATTCTCAAGCTATCTATTCTTCAGAAGCAACATTTTTGAGTTTTGTTACTTTTTTCAGATTTATAAAAATCAATTTTATTTACAATGAAAATATTTAAATTTATTCAATTTACAATGAGAATATGTTAATTTTGAAGCACCCTTGCATCCTAACATTATAAACATTAAATTATGGAATATTAGTATTCTGAGAAAAAATCAAATTTAATAATATGTTTCTGAAAAAATTATGTAGAAAGCATTGAAACTGCTGAAATATTAATTCTAAAAGTAAAATATTTTGGAAAACTTAGTAATAAAATTTGAATTTAACTTCTAACAAAAAAAAAAAAGACTGTAAATTGTGATTTCATAATTGGATATAGTATGTTTAGATATTTTAGGTTTATATATGTATGTGGACATTTGAATATATACTTTATTTAAAATCCTATAGATGTGATGAAGAGGCTGTTGCTAAAGCACAAGCACAAAAAACACTTCGTGAAATTGAAAGCCAATTGTCTGAAGTTCAAGAGGATTTAGAAGCTGAAAGATTAGCTCGTGCCAAAGCAGAAAAACAAAAGAGAGATTTACATGAGGTATTAATATTACTGATGATAAAAATTAAACTTTGTATTTAATACTTAAGATAATTTAAATACATGTGTTTTTAAAAACATATTTTCAAATAGATTTAATTTATTATAAAAAATGATGATAAAACTCAAAATTAATAATTTTTTCCAAATTTACGGATGGGCTAAAAACGACTTATATATTTTAATGTTGTAATTATAATATTTAAATGTAGAATTAATGTTTCAGATGAATTTTATAATGAACAAAAATATTTTAAATAGGAATTAGAAGCCTTGAAGACTGAATTATTAGATTCTCTTGATTCAACAGCAGCCCAACAAGAATTAAGATCCAAAAGAGAAAAAGAAATAGCGTTATTAAAGAAGTCGTTGGAAGATGAAGCAGCTCTTCATGAAGCACAAATTGTTGATTATCGTCAAAAACACAATCAAGCTATTGAACAGTTGAATGAACAATTAGATTCTGTTAAAAAGGTTTGTAAAACATAAAAACTGATTTTATAATTAAAAATTTGATTATTTTTCACAATGAAGTATAATGTAAATGGCACAAGACTTTCTTTACATCTGTTTAATTCTTTTTTTTTTATTTGTTAATATTTTATCATTATTATTATTTTTATTATTATTATATTTGAAATTAAACTATGAATTTAATGTTTTAGGCAAGAGCTGCACTTGAAAAAGCTAAAAGCAATCTTGAGACAGAAAATTTTGAAATGGCAAATGAAATAAATACACTTACAGCATCCAGGCAAGATTCTGAACGCAAAAGAAAACAACTTGAATCTCAAGTCCAGGAATTAAGTATTAAATTAGCAGATGCAGAACGTAATAAATCTGAATCTGCTGAAAGAATTCAGAAATTACAGGTAAGATATTAATGTTTGTAATTAAATTTATTGTTACATAAGATTTCATTTAATATTATAAAACTAATTTTTTATAGGCTGAATTAGAAGCTGTAAGTGCACAACTTGAAATGCTGGACACAAAAGCAACTCAAGCAGCCAAAAGCACAAGTGCCTTGGAATCTCAACTAGCAGAAACTCAAGTAAGGAAATTTTTTTAATATAAATTATTTTAATATTTACACACTAATTTTGTAGCTCCTTATTTAATGTGTATATAATTTATCACAGTAGCCCCTTATTTGACAGACAGAAATTTTTTTTTAAACTGCTTAAGGTCATTTTTACCTTCAAGTGATAGTTACTAGAAAGAATGGTTTGGGTTAAAGCAGGTTTTTGAGCACTATGCATTTATAGTGTTGTTGTATGGACACTCTGCAATAGTTTTGATATATCACTTAATTTTGAATAGTGTTAGTAAGATTTGTCATGTAATTGGTTTATTCTTATTTCCAGAACTGTAAAGGTAAAAAGTTTAGTGAATCTATCACTAGAAATTCCTGACATATTATGGAATGTAGTTCATCTTCTAAGAAGCATTGAAATGTTTTGAGTAATTTAAAGAGAATTCTGTTTCCTAGAATCAGTTTTTCATATCCCATTCAATTAATAAGAATTTCAGTTAACATGTGACACTACAACTAGTTGTGTTCTTCAAACATGAGATTATTGTATATATAAAATGCCAAAAATTCATATAAATATTACTTATGTAAAACAAAATGATGAGAAAAATATATTATATATGGTATGATAAAATAGGAAACTAAATTTTATTTTTTCTTTGTAGGAGTCTTTACAAGATGAAACAAGGCAGAAACTTGCTTTAAGTTCAAAATTAAGGCAAGCAGAAAGTGAGAGAGACAATTTACAAGAGCAGTTGGAAGAAGAAGAGGAAGCAAAAAAAGCATTAGAGAAACAAATAACACAATTACTTCAACNGTAAGTTTTCTGAGTTTGAATAAAACTTAATTTTGAATTTGTTTTAGTTAAGAGATCTTGAAGCTGAATTGGAAGATGAACGAAAACAAAGAGCAGCTGCAATTAGTTCACGAAAAAAATTAGAAGGCGATTTCAAGGAACTTGAACAACAGTTGGAGATTGCAAACAAAATGAAAGAGGATGCATTGCGACAATTGAAGAAATTGCAGGTATACAATATTTCTTTAAAATAAACACTAGAAAATAATTGAAATGTAAACCATCTGTTGTTAAAATTCAGAGCCAAGTAAAGGATTATCAACGTGACATAGAAGAATTACGACTAGTAAAAGATGAGTTAACTGCTCAATCAAAAGATTTAGAAAAGAAATTAAAGACACAAGAAGCAGATATTATTCAATTGCAAGATGATTTATCAAATTCTGAAAGAGCACGTCGTTCTGCAGAATCAGAAAGAGATGAACTGCAAGAAGAAATTAATAATCATACATCAAAGACGTAAATCTGATATATTTTTGATATATCATTTTTTGTCATATTTTAAATTAAGTTTTTTTAATATAGACAGATGTGTATTATGAGATGGTTTTGTAACTATAAAATTCTTTTAGTTCACTTATGCAAGAAGAGAAGAGACGGTTAGAAGGTAAGATTCATCAGTTAGAAGAAGAATTAGAAGAAGAACAAAGCAATTCAGAAATTCTTATGGATAAAACTCGAAAAGCACAAAATCAAGTAATTAAATATAATAGTTACATTTAAATGTAATGTGTTGTTAACAGTTATATTTATATCTAGATATATTAAAATTTGAAAAATATATATACTAATATTTTAGGTACAAGAATGCAAGAAAAAAGAAGAAGAAGAAGCAGAACAGTTGGCTACTTTGGAGGAGATAAGGAAAAAACAAAATAAAGATCTGGAAGCATTACAAAGACTCAATGAAGAGTTACAGACTGCATACGATAAGCTAGAAAAATCTAAAAAGAAGCTACAATCTGAAGTAAATAATTTTCACTATATACTTGTATTTTAAGAATAAGTATGATAATATCATGTTATAATAGGTGGAAGATCTAAATTGTGAATTGGATAATCAAAGATCCAAAGTATCAGAACTTGAAAAGAAACAAAGAAAATTTGATCAAATGCTTGCAGAAGAAAAAGCTGTTTCTGAAAGAATTGCATTAGAACGAGATAATGCAGAGAGAGAAATTAGAGAAAAAGAAACAAGGATACTTTCACTGACTAGAGATTTGGATGATAAACAAGAACAATTAGACGAATTAGAAAGGTCACGTAAGCAGTTACAAGTAGAACTTTATGAACTTGTTAATAGTCAAGGAACTGCTGATAAAAATGTAAGTTTAAAATTTCATTTTTTAAATTATTTGTTATAGTTTTTAACTCTTAGTAATTATTATTATTGTTGTTTTTATTATTTTAAATCAAGAATTAACTATTATGATGATTTTAAGATTACTTTTTAATTCTAATTAAATATTTGTTTCTTTAAAACTAGTTATTTTAAAAGAAAATTTATAAATTAACATGTTGACCTGAATATATATTATATTATGAAAAGAAAAATTTTCAGTGTATATAGAAATGAAAGATTAGTGTTCCCAATTTTATGACAATACTAAAAAATTACAAATTAAAAATGTAACTATGCACTATAACTAGAATTCATGAATGATAATTTATACAATTAATAAATGTATAAACAATACTAATACTATTTTTCACAAGTTGTTAAACTTGTGGAAAATAGTCATGTACAAAAGATATTGCAATTAATAGAACTTTCAGCATTGATAGTATATAATTAATGAATAACAAATAACTATTCATGAATAATTACGTTTAGACATGCAGTAGAATGAATGATAAACATTATTTTTTTTACAAATATTGTTAATTATATTATAAATTCATTCAGTCATTTGATTCTGGTTATTTGAAAGTGAATTTAGCATTAAAAATATTTTCAAATTCTGAATGAACATGAATCAAAAACATAAAAATGGTCTTATTTTAAAATTTTATTAAATATTACAGCTGAAAGGGAAAATATATTAGAACAATGTTAATAAATTCTTCATAATATTTTCAAATAGCACTTACTATTCCTTTATGCTATTAATATAATGAACTTTTAGATTATAAATAATCTACTATTTAATGTTTTCTCGAAAATACAATGAAATAAGACATGACCTTTAAACTACATTATTTAATATGTTTATAAATTAGAAATTACTATTTTAATTATTATTATTGATGTATTCAATAACAAATGAATTAAGTATTAAATACACAAAAATAACCCTTTATGATTTAAAATATAGCTTTATTAACAACAATACTAATTTATATAATTCAATAAAAATTTAATTCAAGTAGTGTGGTGTTGAATAAAAATATCAAAAAAATTATCTTTTCTGCTTAAATTGCTTGAGTTTTTAGTAATGTGATGTCAAATAAGTTTGGCTTTTGATTTTAAATTTATTTTTATCTTGTAAATACTAAATATGAAAAAGTTTATATTCAGGCTAATATTTATTATTAGTGATAACTTAGGTTTAAATTAACTGCTTTTTTTAAAAGAATTATATGTTACTATTAAATTGATATTTATGGCAATATGTAAATTATTTTTTACATTTTATAGTTATAATTTAGTTATTCTAAAAGCATTTCAATGATTTGTAGGTGCATGAATTAGAGAAAAGTAAGAGGGCATTAGAAAGTCAATTAGCTGAACAGAAAACGCAGATTGAAGAACTTGAAGATGAACTTCAATTAACTGAAGATGCTAAATTACGTTTAGAAGTTAATATGCAAGCAATGAAAGCCCAGTTTGAGAGAGATTTACAAGCAAAAGATGAACAAGCTGAAGAGAAGCGTAGAGCATTAAAATGCCAAAAATTCATATAAATATTACTTATGTAAAACAAAATGATGAGAAAAATATATTATATATGGTATGATAAAATAGGAAACTAAATTTTATTTTTTCTTTGTAGGAGTCTTTACAAGATGAAACAAGGCAGAAACTTGCTTTAAGTTCAAAATTAAGGCAAGCAGAAAGTGAGAGAGACAATTTACAAGAGCAGTTGGAAGAAGAAGAGGAAGCAAAAAAAGCATTAGAGAAACAAATAACACAATTACTTCAACAGGTGAATAAAATTTTTGATAATATAAATTTTATATTATTGAAATTTAAAAAAATTGGAACTTGAATGCAAATAAAAATTTTATTTAATTAATAAATTTTGATATAAACTAATATAATAATTTTGTTTTTTAAAAGAAAGGAATAGAAGAATATTTTTTGTTGAAAATTTTCCAGCAAAACTTGACAGTTGTTTAATAATAATTCAGTGATTACACTAACAAAAATCGTTTACTAAACTAGTTGTTTGTGACNCCAGGCCTACATATCCAGATAGAGATAAACCTATGAAAAATTGTGTGCTTGGTCCCTGGTCACCTGAATGATGGACTGATGGCTTAACTGCCTCAGCCATTTGAATTTCCTGTTATCTAGCTTTTATAATTAAAATTATAGAAAATTAAGACTCCTTTCAAGAACATGTTTTGTTAATGAAGAAAATAGAAGACAGATCTGTACTATCTAAGAAAAAAAAAGTTAAAATTATTCATCTTATATTAAACTGTTTTTCTATTAAAAAAAGTGATTTAATTTTATTTAGTTTAATGTAGTAAGTTTTCTGAATTTGAATAAAACTTAATTTTGAATTTGTTTTAGTTAAGAGATCTTGAAGCTGAATTGGAAGATGAACGAAAACAAAGAGCAGCTGCAATTAGTTCACGAAAAAAATTAGAAGGCGATTTCAAGGAACTTGAACAACAGTTGGAGATTGCAAACAAAATGAAAGAGGATGCATTGCGACAATTGAAGAAATTGCAGGTATACAATATTTCTTTAAAATAAACACTAGAAAATAATTGAAATGTAAACCATCTGTTGTTAAAATTCAGAGCCAAGTAAAGGATTATCAACGTGACATAGAAGAATTACGACTAGTAAAAGATGAGTTAACTGCTCAATCAAAAGATTTAGAAAAGAAATTAAAGACACAAGAAGCAGATATTATTCAATTGCAAGATGATTTATCAAATTCTGAAAGAGCACGTCGTTCTGCAGAATCAGAAAGAGATGAACTGCAAGAAGAAATTAATAATCATACATCAAAGACGTAAATCTGATATATTTTTGATATATCATTTTTTGTCATATTTTAAATTAAGTTTTTTTAATATAGACAGATGTGTATTATGAGATGGTTTTGTAACTATAAAATTCTTTTAGTTCACTTATGCAAGAAGAGAAGAGACGGTTAGAAGGTAAGATTCATCAGTTAGAAGAAGAATTAGAAGAAGAACAAAGCAATTCAGAAATTCTTATGGATAAAACTCGAAAAGCACAAAATCAAGTAATTAAATATAATAGTTACATTTAAATGTAATGTGTTGTTAACAGTTATATTTATATCTAGATATATTAATTATTTTGTTATAATTATGGTAAAATGATTTTAATAAAAATTTCATAGTTATTTTCATTTTTGAGATGTATTTTATAAGATACATTTTGTTTTTAAGATATAAAATTATAACTGTAGTTTTGATTAAAATTTTAAATGACTTTTAGATTGAACAATTGACAACTGATTTAGCTAGTGAAAGGTCCCAGTCACAGAAACTAGAAAATGGAAGAATGCTCTTAGAAAGACAGGTATTTCATTTTAATTTCAATAATGCTTAACAATTGAAAGTTTAAGATATTTTGATATGTAACATTTTTAATATTTTATATGTAATACAGATTCAGTAATGTGTTTCTATCAAATTTTATACAGTATGAAATAAATATTAAGTTCATTTTATAAAGTAGTTTGGAAAATAGTTTAGACCTGAATGCATATTCTTTTAAATTTTATCAACTAACATCTAAAATCTAAAATATTGTTCCTATCTAACATCTAAAATTTCAAAATATGAATGTTTTTATTGTATGTATAATAGTTTTAATTTTAAGTTATCCTAATACAGTAGAATCTGCATGATGTAATTGGATATTATCAACAGTTTAATATTATCAGAATTAGCAAGTCCTGAAACAAGTTAAAATACACTATAAAAATAACTTTATAACAAATTATGGTTATAATATACATAGTTATTATCTTCAGGTAAATAAGCATTTTTAAATTGTCTTTTCACACCATTAGTACTACTAGGTAGTTGATAATGAGCATTGTTATTAATTACAGTTGTTAACCTTAATCAGTGGTTTAGACATTAATCAGTTTAATTATTTGCTCAAAGTACAATAGTTTAACTTGTCATTTGTTTAATATACTGGATAAATCAATTTTAGTAATAATAATATTGGGTTGAACCAAAAGTTTGTTCGGGTATTTACATAATTGCTCGTCTGTGGTGCCTCTGTTGTGCTTATCAAGTTTTAACTTGTTTAGGTTGACATTACGAATATCTGCATATTTATTACGTAAGTTTAATTACAGTTATTTTTTAAAATTTTGTTAACTTTTAAGAAAAAAAAAAGCATTAAAATGGAAGATAAGAAGATGCATTTTCGACATCTGATGCTCTATTATTTCCTAAAAGGAAAAAATGCAACAAAAACTCAAAAAAGATATGTGCTGTATATGGGGAGGATGCAGTTACTGATCGAACATGCCAGAAATGATTTTCAAAATTCAGAGAGGGAGATTTTTCTCTCGAAGATGCACCTCGGTCAGGACGACCTTCAACTGTAGAAGATGAGTCCGTAACGGCTTTAACTCAAAATGATTGGCATAAAACAACATGAGAGATAGCTGACATCTTAAAAATATTCCAAACATCTGTTGTCAGACATTTGGCTAGCCTTGGATACACTTCCCATTATGATGTTGGGTTCCCCGTAGGTTAAGTGAACGAAACCTTATTGTGTTTCTGTATGTGATTCACTTTTAAAACGCAATGAAGATGATCCCTTTTTAAAGCGATTAATAACAGGTGATGAAAAATGGATTGTTTACAACAATATTAAATGCAAGAGATCTTGGAGTAAGCCAGGTGATCCTCCAGTGCTACAACCTAAAGCTGGTTCGCATCCCAGAAAAGTAATTTCAGTTTGATAGGACTGGAAAGGGGTTCTTTATTACGAGCTTTTACCCAACAACCAAACAATTAATTCCAATAAATATTGTCTCCAACTGGATGAACTAAAGGCTGCAGTGCATCAAAAACGTCCAGAACTTGCAAATCGACAGGGAGTGGTATTCCATCATGATAATGCAAGACCACACATATCGTTAAACGTGTGCCAAAAACTTCTAGACTTTAACTGGGATGTTTTGAGTCACCCTGCATATTCTCCAGATATTGCTCCCTCAGACTATCATATTTTTCGTTCATTGCAGAATAATTTAAATGGCATAGAATTTCAATCTCTAAAAGGTATCAAAAATCACATTGATAATTTCTTCAATCAGAAACCCTCCCAATTCTACATATACAGAATTATGAAACTATCCGTCAGGTGGTGTAAGGTTATTGAACAAAAGGTTGAATACATTGTGGATTAAACATTTTTATTTATTTCAAAATAGTATATTTTATTTCTTTCTAAAAACCGAATGAACTTTTGCTTTAACCCAATAATATTCAAGTTAAAATGTCATTTTAATTTCAGTGTTAATAAACCAGAATTTTCAAAATTGCAATCTTATTTACTTAACCAACCAACAGCATTAAGAGGTTAATACCTCTGGTGTGAGTGTATAGCCGTTTATTGGTAGAGAAAGAAAAATTTGACATATGGAAAAATTAGTAAATTGTTTTGGCAAAAATTTTGACTTGTTTAATTCATTTGAATTGTCATTTATCATTTATATTACATTGCATTTACAGTACATAAACTTTATTAGGATTTATGTTATGATAATGATTTATTTTTAAAACTTGATGTAATAATCATATACAAGATTTCTTATTGAATATATGAAATTACTATATTTTGATTTAAAAATATATTTTTGTACTTTCTAGCTTGATGCTATAAAAAAAGTTCCTTCTCATATAAATTATTATATCTTGAAATAATTTTTAAATTTTTGTATACTTTAAAAATTTGTAAAGTTTTGTACATTTATATGAAATATAAACATTCTATACTTTTCTGACCTTTGCTGGGCATAAAACTTGTAATACACAATAAAATATTCTCATGTACCGTACCATTAGTACATGGGAGTATTTTATTGGGAAAAGAGTAATAAAACAGTTCTCTTATAATCTATTATTATGATTTGTCATATTCAATTGATTTTCAACTTAAATTTTATTTACTAAAAAAAAAAAACTTTTATGAGAAGTAATTTATTATACAATTTTTATAATTTAATAATAGCAAATAAACATTAATTATAACAATTTAATATTAAATTTGATTTGTTTGAATAGAAATTATTATAAAAATAAATAGATGATTTCTTTTAAAAATATATTCTTATTAGATAGGTTTTCAGATATTTACAATAGAATAATATACAAACTGTTAATTGATTAGCAGTTTTATCTTGAAATATGTGACAGATACAAGTATAAATAAGACAATGCATTTTTAAGAAGAGTAATGACAAGATTTTATTAATAGATTTTCATGTAAGCAATCAAATAAGAAATCAGTTATTAATGTGTCATATAATGAATTTATAAATGGGAACAGAATAGCATTGAAAGAAAACATTATAGGAAATAGTTAAATCTGATTAGAATGTAAACGAAAAGCCTTGTTTTGCATATCAGTCAGTTTTTGTAGCAGTACACTTTTCAAGAAACTGTTTAAAGTTATTTATCATAGATATTCCTTGATCCAAACATCACTTATTTCTCCAAACCAATGCCACTAGTTTTTCTAGTCTGATGAAAAAGCATTAAAAATTAAAAAGTTGTATTGGAATTATAAATTAGTTTTTAATGAATCATTATGATAAACATGTCTGAATATGTCAAATATGTGGTAAATTTAGAATTATATCATCTTGGTTTGATCTTGGACCATTGATTACTTTAGGCAAAATTACAATGCCAAGATTTATCTAGAAAGATATCTTCAACATCCATGCTATTTATATTGTTACACTTTGAGAATAGATTTAAGTGTGCCACAAGGTAGATATCTTTATTTAGTAGGACAAATATGACAGTGTCCTATGTCATATTACTGATATTTTGATGAACTAATTTGAAAATGAATATACAAAAAGCAACTAGCTGGCCCAGAATTATGATTTAATTCCATTTAAGAAATGAAATGGACTGCAGAGTGCTTGAGAAAAAAAGCACTCAGCAGTTTATTACAAACTAAAGCTGAATTAAATTATTGCTCTGAAGAGTAAATACTAAGATTAACATCTTGCACACAGCTATTTTGTATTAACAGTAGAATAGGATATGATAGAACTATATATATATTTCTGTTTTTACTTCTGTTTACATTTATAGAATATCCTTTTTTAAATATTGACTAATTGTAACATTTTTTTCTAATATAAATTTTATAGAAGTTAGAGGCTATCAGTTTAATTATTTTTGTAACTTTTCATGGGATACCATTTTAAATAAATGTTGAACCATTTATAACTTTTGTGTTTAGAATAAAGAATTAAGAATAAAACTTCAAGAATTAGAAACATCTCAGCGTTTAAAGACAAAAGCTGCAATTGCTGCATTAGAAGCAAAAATATCTCAATTAGAAGAACAAGTGGATATTGAAGCAAAGTAAGAAATATTTTTTAAATACTAGTTTTAATGTAATTTAAATTTCATAATTAAACTTTGTATAATGATGATTTAAAATAGAATGATATTGTGATTATATAATTATACTGATTATTGTAGAGAAAGATTAGCAACAGCTAAAGCTGGTCGTAAACTTGAAAAGAGATTAAAAGAAGTACTTATGCAGTTAGAAGATGAAAGAAGACATGCTGATCAATACAAAGAACAGGTATTTATTATAATTTTATAACACTATATTAAACTGCTTTTAAGAAACTATAAACTGAAGAATTTAATTCACATGTAGAATTTTGTTTAAGGAGAGTTATTAAATATTTTTGTTTTCTCTGTTAATTTTATTATGCTATTTTTAACAAAGTTTCAATTTTTCCCCCTAAAAATAAAATATTAAATAAATTTTTTAAATACATAATTTTTATGAAAAAATTGTGTAATTAATTTCAAAAAGATAAATAATTTAACTTAATAATGTTGATCCAGATGGAATCTTGATTAACATTCTTAATTAATATGATATTTTTTTGTGTGTCATTAAGTTTACCTTAATATAATTAAACATAGTAAATGTTTATTCTCTCAATAAATAGTTACAAATTTCAATTTTTTGTCGTTATATTATTAGATGAGTGTTCTGTCTAAAGTCAGAATAGTTTATTTTATTAATTTAATATATACTTTATCTTAAATTTAGGTAAGACAAATTAATCTGTATAAATTACATAATTCAAAATAATTTTATTTTCATAGGTTGAAAAAGCTAATAGTCGTGTTAAAGGCTTAAAACGTCAGCTAGATGAAGCAGAAGAAGAGTGTTCCAGAGAAAAAGCACAAAAACGAAAGGCTCAACGTGACTTAGAAGATTTAATGGAATCACACGAGTCTGTAACTCGTGAATTAACTAATCTAAAGAATAAAATGAGGTAAGATTTTTGAAGAAAAAAGTTTAGTTTTTGAATAATTTTATTTTTTGTGCTTTATTTACAATATGGAAAAAAAGATGAATTTTATTCAACCTGAATTCATATCAGTATTTAAATACTCTTCAGACAGATATGAAGTACAGAACAGTAACAAAATAATGTTGATTGATTGCATTTTTTTAAATTAAAATTTTTTTTGTATTAGTTATTATATGAATCAGCCAGCTTGTTTGCTTGTTTTGTCACAATAAAATTAACTTTGTTTTTTCCTACTTATTAATTTGTTGTTATCAAAATTGAACATTTAACTGTAAAATCTCTTAACAAACTCAAAGTAATTAAAATAAAATTATTATTTTTGTTTTGTTAGTTTAAATATTTGAAGGATTTTATGAGAATCATAGTAGTAATGATGATTTTTACATAAGAACATGAAATTTGATTTCAAGTACCACCTATAAGCAAGAAAATATATAATATATTCAATTCAAACTTTTTTTTTTTTGAAATAATGTGTTATATGCAAAACTGATATTTAAAATTGTATTCTTTAAAAATTAATATGAACTTTAATTAATTATGAACAGTATGATGAATAATAATTTGATTTTGGAAGAAAATTTGTAGAATAAATTAACTTCAAACTCTATTATTTGCTGCTAGTGAAATGAAGTTTGAATTCCTTACTTCAAAATTTTGCATCTTTTTAGGAATACAACAAAATATGATATAACAATTAGTTGTATTCTTATTATTTCCAGTTTAAAGAGTAAAAGAAACAAAAATTAGAATATTATTGATAATAGATGATAATGGAGTTTTAGTATTGAAAAAAATTTTAAAAAAATTTGCCCCATTTAAATATCTTGGTGACTAGTTTCAGTAGTTATTAATGAATTAGTGATTTATTTAAATACAAGGTATAAGGCACATAAAATATAAAATACTTAAATTAAAAATTAAAGCTTTTATAATTCATTTGGTCAATTTACTTACATTTAATAAAAGTACATTTATAATTATCTTTTTTAGAAGAGGCACAGGTTCTCCTGCTACTCTACCAAACAGCCGCTATCTGGGTACTAAGAGAGGTTCGATACCTAGCAGTGCAAGCGGAGACGATGGATCCATCACATCTCTACCCGATGAGATCTTGGACGACGACAGCCAAGCCTGATCTGTCTCGCATCTGACTTTTTCTTACAATGGTGATATTTTCCTCTAATTTGTAATTAAGAGGAGAATATAGTGAATATCCTCTGCTTAAATTGAGTTGCAAAGCAACTGCTAACATTCCCAATTCAAATAATGTAGACTCAAAATTATATTCATGTAATAATAAGCATGATCCCAGTTATAGAGTTGCCAAATATAGAATTAGGAACTTTGTAAAAAAAATTTTTTTAATGAGATTTGCTACTTTGAAAATTTTTTGGATACAAATGTGATTAAATGAACATCTAGAATCTGTGCAATGTTCCAAATAACTTTAAGAGAGTTGCATTTTTATTTAATTACTGTAATTTAAGCAGCCCAAATGAAATACTGCTTAGACTACGGTTATAAATTTATATCATTTTTTAAAAAGTCTATAAATTATTTGCTTGAAAATTATTTGTTATGTTATGCACATTGATGCAGAAAAGTAAGATTATACTAACTTTTTTGAATTTGTTCTACCATGCAAATTTACGGTTGCGGCTCAAGGCCCAGACTATAGTAAATGCCTTAGTGTGCCAACTGCTTGTTATTTCTATATGAAAATATTGGAAAAAAATACTAACTTAAGTTTTGCTTCTGTATGAAGCAATTCATGTATTTTGAAATTGTACAAAGGGAGTAGAAGACATATTTTTTTGCTTATTATACTAAATGATCGAAAAACTTTTATATGACGTGTCATTTATAATTATCTTCAGTATTAAGACAAGCTTTTCTAACAAATTTTAAACTGAACATTTTGTAATTCACTTATTCTTTATATTATTCTTTAAACTTATTTTTATACAATTGATACTATGTATTTCTGACTACTTTAATAAACCTTGATGTATTTGTTTGTTTGTGTCTTACTATTGCAGACTAACCAAATCTCTTATCTAATATCTAATTTTTTAAAATTATGTCAATATATATACAGTATTATTTGTTTCTAGATATTATCTACGTTTCTAATTAAGCAATAATGAATGACACGATATTTACAGTTTTGTGAAGTATTGATAATATAAAGTTTTTATTCTAATATCAATACAAAAAACAATTATTGAATCTATCAAGATTTCATTAATTTATAGTTATTAGCTTACTAATTATGGCATATGTATAATAGGAGGAACATTAATTTATTTCTCATACTTTTGAATATATTTAAATAATAATGAGTGAATGAAAAATCAAAGGATTAGAGGAAAATTGATCAAATTTCATGTGGTTGAATTGCTGTTTTCATAAACAATGGCTTGAAATTTTCTTACGCAAGTTTTCCCTCTGGATACACTTCTCAACTGAAGTAAGGATGAAAATACTGAATACAGAGACTGGATTAACTGCAATAAAAATATAATAAATATTAATATAATTTTTGCATTTTAATTTTCATATTGTGAACATCATTATATATTAAGGGATCATTCCGGCAACTTCCAGATTAAAAATGCTAACAGACAAATTAATGAAAACGGCAGATTTCTTACTTTAAGAGGAATATCTTTCTCGATAAAGAAAAATCCACCAATAGAAATTCCAAGTTTTAATTTACCAAATCTCTTCATGAAATCTAAAATCTGAAAAAAAACCCATTAATTAGAAATATGATTTATTAATTGTAAATCAATATATTAAAATATGATCTTGCCTTCAGTTTTTCCGTAAGATAGAAATTTGCAGAAGAGATTTTTACGATGGAAATGAAATTGCTGTATATCTATAAAGTAAAATGTGGATTGGTTAAAGTATATATACAAGTTTTATTAAAACAAACTAAAATATCCATTATTTGAAATACTAGCTAGTTTTGTACATGATTTTCATGAAGGACACTGGTTGAGGGGTCAGTTCAGTTTGCTCAAAGTTTTACATAAGTATCAATTTTTAATCTTCCATTATTGATAATTTACTAACCTTCAGTGGTTTGTTATAGTTGAAGTTTTGTTGGAAACCAATGGCACAGTTCGTTTCACACGAAACGGGCTATTCCATTTGTTTTGTTTATCCAGGCCATTCATTCATTGTCAGATATTAATTTACAAGATTACTGCATTAATTTTCCAAAAATTAATTCAAATTTTCTTAAGTACCAATTAAAATACAATCATTATTATATATTGTATACTGTATTAAATTATATTATTGACAATATTACAATATCGATTGGTACCCCCATATGGAGACATTGTATGCAGCTTAAAATTGTTTATTCTAAATAAATTAAAATTAGAAAATTATACAAAATGAGTAATTTTCTAATTTTAAAAATTGACAACAAAATACCATACATTTTTATTGTTGAATTAATGTGTGCAAACAATTTTTCTGTGCTTACTTAATAATAATTTTGAATAAAATTGATGGTGATAAACACAAGATATGTCAATTAAATATTCGATCGATAAACATGGTATTAATTTATGCTCGATTAAAGCGATCGATCTTCATTAGTGATGTAATCTCTGCAAATCAAATTTTAAAAATAAATGAGCATTTTAATTTATTATTTAAAAGATTACTCGGGCTGTAAATTTTTTTCTCCACTTTGTGTTTGATGTTCGCCATATTTAATTGATGAAATAAGAGAATAAATAAACCCTCATGACCTCGTTGGAAACTGAAGTTTAATTATGATAGTTATAAGTAATTTTAATAATAATTAATTACATATTTGTACATTAGTTCATATACAAATATGTAATTAATTATAATAATATATTGACTTAGATTGAGATATACAGATTAATATTTAATATTAATTAATAATGTATTCTAGATACAATAGTTTAAATTTTTGATTTAGATAAAGGAAATTATAATTTATAATGTATATACTCTATGAAATTTCAGCAAAATTTGTTCTACTTACCGAAGAAGTTAGTCTAGAAAACGCAAAAGAACCCACGATACAGAATAATATAGAGACAATAGAATATAGAAAGAAAAATAATTTCATATAAAGATATTCTCCGATGAATATAAGCAAGTAAAAACTGAAGCAGGTGATGTAAACTATTAAAAAGTATATAAATGCAAATAAATGACTCCACAATTGATTTAACTGTTGAAATACCTCCCACAGTTCTGTGTGTTTGATTATTATAGAACATGATTCCATATACAGATTTATTGTATTTTTATTGATCGAATTAAGTTTCCTTTGCAGGAATAGGAATCTGTTAAATAAAATCCAGAAAAAAATAAAGAAAATCAAAGTTAAGTAAATGGTTTGCCCACTTATTATTAAACCGTTCAGGAAATAAAAAACATTGCATTGAATTAATCGAGGTGTTAATTTTATATTTTCATTTTTAAAATATCGTTTCGACATAAAAATCATTATTAAGATAGCACAAAATATAAAATTCACGAAACCAATGAAGAAAATCAATTGAATTCGTTGAAATATTTCTTCTTCTCCTTCGTAATTGTCACTCTTCGTTATCCATTTAAATTTCTTCCTTTTCATAAAACTGAATATAACGGACAAGCTAATGCAGATCATGATGCCAATTATTTTTTCGAAAGGGTTTATATTTATAACTTGAGATTTCCAATCTTCGCATACGACGTATATATCTAGAAAATTTACCACTCTATTTACGGCCGCTGTCCATAAAAAGATTTCTATGGCATTGACGTAGAAGGTGTTGTACCACAGACTTTTCTGTCGATTGTAACAATTACAAAGTATTATTGGTTCCAGACCGAATACTTTCCCTACCGAAATTATAACACTAAAAACGCAATGAATGTTAAATTTCTTATCTGTTTTTGGTGAAAAGATCGCTTTTAATCTCTCCATACCAAATATTTTTAGATGATTTGTTCTCGCTCTACAGGAAGAATTTTCAGGAATATTAGAATATAATAAACTATGTTAAAATGCTCCCTAAGCCAAACAACGTGGAATATCGAAGTCAATGTTTTATAAAATTCTTTCTAGTATCGATTATTTCTTTGAAAGAGAACCAATGAGAGATGTGAGAAAAGAGCTTTGTCTCCTCCTCTTCTCTCTCACTTATCAATATACCGCTCGTAATTACACTTTTATATAACTTAATGCGGAACAAATATTTGATTTAATATTCCTGTTATATAATTTCTCATTAATAATACCGTAATGTAAAAATATTTACATAATTGATGTTGTGTACGTAATTAAAATGGATTTTCTTCTACGATATTTTGCGATATCAAAATTATGTATTTTAATGCACACGAAAATAAAAAAAATTTAGCAATGATTTGAGTAACTTCCCCTGCAAAAAGTTAAAATTGTATGTGGCACCATCTGTTGGGAGAATTTATTTACAAACTATATTGTTATGACTGGCAAAAAGGTTTAGTTAAGTAAAATATGCGCTCTCCACCTCAAATTGGCAGTGTCTTGCCCCTGTAAATCATACTTTTCCTTTAGAGTAGTGCCGTCTATCTATCTAACACCTTTCAGGGGAATCTGGGGCCTCGTGTCCCAGATTAACTATACACGAACTTCGATATATCTTTCCATATACGGTCTCGGCTTTCATCTATCTAACTCCGTGAAGTTAAGGGAGGTAAGTGACACTTAGATCTAAAACAAATCATAATACAGTAAAACCTGTCTATGGCGACCACCCACGGTTCCTTCAAAAAGTGGTCTTTTAGACAGGTGGTCGTCCAATACAGGTGGTCCTGTAATAATGTATTTCCGTACGTATTTTGCGCACTTTTTAGCCATTTCTACTAAGCAAAATTCGAGGTGAGCAAAAATAAGCGTATTTTTTCAACGATAGGGCTTTATTGGTATTGTATTTTATTTTAAAGATTAATACAATACTCGCATTTTCTCGATTATAATGCACACTTTCTTTTTTCCCACTTAATTAATTCGACTCGGTTCTTTTCGTTCTCTCCTCAGTTACGTGTATTACGTCATCAATATACAAGCGC